GGTAGAAGACAGTGTTGATCTTGGTCTCCATCTACGGTGGAGATGCGCGGTGAAACTGCGCAGCCAATCTTCTTGATGAACTTCAGCATTAGGCCTGCATGGTGAAACTGTACAGCATAACTATATGATCAAAGTGGGCATTTTACCTGTTTGGTGAAACTACACAGCAGCCCGTCTGATGAAACTGTGCATTTTACACGTTTTGTGAAACTGCACAGCGGACCTGTCTGATGAAACTGTGGAGAGGACATACATAGTGGAACTCCTCAGTAAATATACACGGGAAAACTGGCGCACAGATATACGGGTTGAAAGTGCGCAGCGAATTTTCATGGTGGAATTGTGCAACGGAAATACAGGGGGCAAATACGGAATGAACCTAGGCAGAAGATATTCATGATGTAACTAAACTTCAAACATACGTGATTCGATTGAAAAGCTAAACTTATTTTTGCAACTGCGCAGTTGACATTCCCGAAAACTTGCGCAGTTGTAGAACATTGAGAAACTGCGCTCCTGGTATATATGGGATAGTTGTGCGCCGGTGGTCTACTTGGTTGACCGTTACTGTTAAATTAGTGATTTGGCTGGAGGAAACTGCGCAATGGGCTTCTATAAAACATGGAGTTGGAGTTATGTGATGAAGAATGGATTTTGCGGCAAAATAGTTAATTTGTTTACGAAATGAAACTGCGCGGTTAGCATGTCTCTCATATTCTCTGAGGAAGTACATTATGAGGTTTTGTGGTGAAATTAAACAGTTAACTGATGAAGTTTTATTTTCTAAACAAAAAAACTGCACTGTTGATTTCTTTGAATAAGCCGCTCAGCGAATTTGATGACACAGTTAGACTTCAGGTCTTATGCTATGTTGCTGAACAGTTTCTGCCTTTTGAAACGTAACAGCAGCCGAACCAGACCAAACAGCTGTCTGCTGAAACTGCACACTAAACCAATGTCTGCTGAAACTTCTGAAACTGCTGAACCTTCATGACGAAATTGCTCGTGACGAGGTTGAATTATAATCTGCAAGTGATGAGGACAAACTGTGCACTTGAGCTACTGTCCTTAAGTTGGGATAATGTGTGAGACCGCGCAGCTTTCATGTCAGAACTGCGGCTCTGTAAGGTTTACCAATTGCGCATCGGAGGAATGAGAATCATCCGCGCATTATCAGAGATTATATACACACAGACATCACAATAACGTGATATATATCACGTTATCCTCATCAAGGAGGATAACATCAAGGCCCTTGTGAATTTGATCAGAGATTATATGTAAGGGTGAACATATTGGGCTTTGTGTGAATATTAATTAGAAATGCCGTGGGCCGGCGTAGCAGATGATGTGTGTCGGGACTGTGCAGTAGTGAAAGGAAAGTGAAAAACACTGCTAGTAAATATTGGATGTGTGCATTGGTAGCGTGTGTTTGCGCTGTGTTGGAGAGTGGGATGAAATTGCATTGTGGGGTGGTGGTGCGTGATGGTACTACAGTGGTGGTACATTAGAGCTATACAGTAGTGGTGGTGCGTGAAATAGAGATTCACAGCGGTGATGGTGCGTGCATTAGTGTTTCATGATGGTGGTGATGCTCATTATAGTTCCCCAGTATTGGTGATGGTGTTTGTTAGGGTTCCGTAGTGGTAGTTTTGATGTATGATAGGGATTCACAGTAGTGGTAGTTTTGTTAATTTGGCTCCAGAAGGACGGTGATTGGATGACTTAGTGCTCGCAGTTGTGGTGGTTGAATATGCGCAGTGAAACAATAGAGGTGGTGGTAGCGTAAAGTACGCGCTGGGAGTAATACAGCGCCGAGTTGCAATTACTTGTTGAGCTACGCTGCGGTGGTCTCGCTGGGAGTGTGGAGAGCGAAACTGCGCGCTGGAGAAGTGTAGTGACAGTGCGCAGTCGTGGAGGTGCGCAGTTGTGGTGATGGGGTGGGCGCGGGCGGTGGTGGCTGTGGTGTTGAGTATCATATCTCTGGGTATACTGAGCCTCCACGTCGCCCTCTGTGTCCACTATCCATCCCCACTCTTCGCCGTCACCCTACTTCTCAACCCCTCCCTCTGGTGAGTGTACGTCCCCCCACCCTCCCTCTCCCTCACACTGTCACATATACCGACCATCTTATATTTTTCTGCTCTGTGAGGATACTGAACGATATCTAGGAACGCTTGAGAAGTCAGTAGCATTAACAGGTCTATACAGCCATACTAGCTTTCTTTTTAATAATTACATATTTACTTATTCGTAGAATGAATAGACTTGTGTTGTGGCAGGATGTTCCTGGGCGCAGCAGGGATGGGGTGTGCCCTTGCGCTGACGTACAGGGAGAGACAGAGGAAGGTCCGGGCCGCTCTCTGTACCACCTGCCACGCCCGCTACGGCGCCACCATCGACTCCAAATGCCGTGGTCCTGACAGCCAGTGGCGGGATGGTGGACACTGCCAGCGGGGTCCCTCCAGAGCCATCTACTCGTACAACGGCAACTCTCACAAGTTCTACGCTTCTTACGGAACTATTAACGAAAAACAGACCATAAAAACTAAGCGTCCGTCTGTGCTCGGAACGACTACAGGTATCCACTCCCCGACGGAGACGCTGAAACTGAACGAAACTACTCCATTGAATACCAACCGGAAGCCACCGACGAGTTGTGAGCCAGTAAATACAGTATCAAGTAATAATGACACCATCAGTGCAGCTCAAAGCAAAAACTCGGATGAAAGTGTTGAGCTTCAACAGAGACCGGAACTTAAGTCGAATTCTGAGCCTATGGAATGGACTGGTGACGATCAGGCATTAGAGGTCAAGAGCAATGATACGTTGGCATCGCCGTCCCTGTCCCAGGAGGATAGAGACGATGCAGGCAGCGTCGTTGAGTCTCCAGAAATTCATGAGATGAACCAGCAGGCGAGTAGAGTGAACCTTTCCGTCCGACCCATTACAGAGGTTACCCCGGCGCTGACAGTCAACAGTGATGTATCTGGTGATGTGACCAGCGACTCTAGGACGTCGTCCACATCACTGGAGGAGCGGCTCCCGTGTGACTGCCTCGCTAGGTATGCTATCATGGACTATAGGAGCAGGCAGCAGCTCTACAGAACAGCGACCTACGGTCCTACTGTCCGCCGTCACCACTACACGCATCCCGAGATTCGTGCTGTCGGGAGATACAACAAAAAATTGTTAATGCATTGTAGATTACGAGATCCAAAGGATGTCCCTATTGAACTGTTCACCGCGAAGCATAGTTCTGTTAAGAATTGTTCAGCTGATCAAAATGTCACACCCGACGAAGTTGTAGGTTGTGGGTGTGGTGACGTTTTTAGTGCGTCCCGCGAGACTTCGGACAACCAGACAACATACACAGCATCCGAGCATCACACTGGTGACCAACACATTGATAATAACCCACGAACAGATCATTTAAAGTTTAACAACAATACTTCCACAGACAAAGAAAGAACACAAGAAATAAATGCCAACAGTGAGCCTGTCTCTCCGCAAACCAGATTATTCACCTTGGGGAAAGTGACAGATGAAGCTGCCTATTATCCTACTACCACAAAACTCCTGCCTGTGAAACACTCTCCTCCGTCCCCTATACAAACACCCACGACGGGGCAGGATACTGCCTCGCCTCCATCCGTCGCCTCGGCAAGTGTACCTCAGAACCTCACACAAGACCGCAGGTCCCACCACTCCACTCAAGGTCCCATCCGCGAAGACAGTGTGGACTCCTGTCAGGCCCAAGACCCCAAGTGTCGGGACTTGGACGATGCTTCAGTCTCATCTGAGAGCGGCTTGCTACCAAGTAGCAGTAAGGCGTCCTCGGTGGGTCGTGACTTCCTAAAATCCCCGTTGTGGCGGTCGTTCCGGGGTGTGAAGAAGGACGTTAAGGCAGCTTCTGGTGGTGACTCCGACCAACACAGAGAGAGCGGCCAGCTTCAGCCTGATTCTGACGCGCCTCAGCCTGGTAGGTGTCTTATTTCAAATTAATACTGGAAATGGTGAACAAAAGACTACATTGGTGCAGTGGTGCAGTCTTGACGGCCATAGAGCCTCGTGCATAACAAACAACACAACTAAACACACACACACACAAACACACAAGGGTCTCGCAGCTGAGTGGACAGCGCTCGGGGGTCGTAGTCCTAAGGACCCGGGTTGTGTTTTAGAGAGAAATATATGAATTATAAATATAGAGGAAAAATAAATTGATAAGAAAGGCGGGGTTCAAGAGCTAATAGCTCGATTCTACAGGTACAAATTGTAAAAGCACACAAAAAAAAACATTCGCACGCGCGCATATAATATCCTCCACCAGAAATAATAACAATCATTCTTTTACTGTAATGAGAGCATGAACAAGTGACAGATGCGATGCGTTTGAGACACCAGTCATACCTAGAGATATACCAGCCATATCTCGAGATATACCAGTCATATCTCGTGATATATCAGTCATATCTCGTGATATACCAGTCATATCTCGTGATATAACCAGTCATATCTCGTAATATACCAGTCATATCTCGTGAAATAACCAGTCATATTTTGAGATATATCCAGTCATATCTCGTGATATACCAGTCATATTTTGAGATATATCCAGTCATATTTTGAGATATATCCAGTCATATCTCGTGATATACCAGTCATATTTTGAGATATATCCAGTCATATTTTGAGATATAACCAATCATATCTTGTAATATACCAGTCATATCTCGTGATATAACCAGTCATATCTCGTAATATACCAGTCATACCTCGTGATATACCAGTTATATCTCGTGATATACCAGTCATATCTCGTAATATAACCAGTCATATCTCGAGATATAACCAGTCAATCCTTGACCTTCAGGACTGACTATAACGTGTCATATCTCGTTAACTATTGCTGTTATGGTGTTAATATTGAAATTCCATAAGAAAACCTTTACCAAAAGAAGTAAATCAATGCGGTAAATACATTGAGCGTATTTTCAAAACGATTCTATGGCTGGTTTAGATTTTGAGTTTTGAGAAATTTTGAGATTTCAGGACCGTCGTCCAGTGGCCGCGGTTTTGGCGGCAAATTTCCCAAATTGATTTTAAGTTATAATTTCTTATAAAGGTCATCTTGAAATTACCATACAGTATAGTGTATTAATCATTACTGGGTATTCAGTAATTTGAATATTGACTGGAATTAAATATATTTTATTTGTGTTTTTACTTGTTTATTGAATAGGTAAGTTGATTAGTTAATTGACTGATTAATTTTTTGTTTTAATACATATTTGTTACTATATTGGAATTTTTTTTATCAGCTAAATAACTGCTGGCTATAGGCCTATATATATATATTTTTAATTTTATTTAACAATGCCTTATTTTAATGTGTTGGCAAGCTATATTGACTCATTCCGCTTTATTCATTGAATAAATGGTTGTTTTGTTAAATAATTATTCAAATTAAATATGTATTTTTTATTTTATTTATTTGAAATCTCAACCATCCTTATGGTAAGAGCCTTGATAGGCGAGGTGGCCCAAGCTCTTGATACAAAGAGCAGATGACGGTAGGTAGTGAAGCTCCTCTCTCCTGGCCTCAGGTGACAGGTGAGACGAACGCCTGGCCTCATGGCACACATACTTGTCACACATGGAAACACATATACTGTAAAAATATTCCCCTTATGTATTCCCCGTTTACCTTAACCTAGAAGTCGAGTCTGCTTAGGAACTGCGACTCGTAGGGAGCAACATGCTTCTTTGGTGGTGACAAGAGGTGACGTGAAAGCTTCAGTGTGGGCATTCTAAAGCAGTCAGCTTCCATATGACGTGTACTATTCTTGGTGTACTTATTCTACATATTCCCCACACTCCCATGGTCCTTGATAGACTGGGTGGTGTGTGGGGATGTAGAAATATGAAAGTCCTCGGCTTTTTATACTTCTTTTTCATCCCCGGAAACTCATATGATGAGTGCCCAGGTCCATAAGTCTTCTGGAACATCTGCTTCTCTATTTCAACCGGCAGAGTTCACTAGTAGTTCTACAGCTGCCCGTACAGTGGACCCTGACCTTCATTCCGACTTTCAGGCTTCTCTTGTAACACTGTGGTCAATTGATGACCAGACCACACACTAGAAGGTGAAGGGACGACGATGTTTCGGTCCGTCCTGGACCATTCTTCGCATCGACTTGAGAATGGTCCAGGACGGACCGAAACGTCGTCGTCCCTTCACCTTCTAGTGTGTGGTCTGGTCAACTTACTTTAGCCACGTTATTGTGACTCATCGCCTGCACTGTGGTCCATCTAAAAGTCCCCAAGAAAGACAGCCACTTCGAGCACACTCTCAGTCACTGTTACAGCAATACCTTGTTCTCCCCCTTTTCAATACAGTGAAAGCCCGCCGCTGGGATCCGTGGGCTTTTACCGGGACACGTCACTAGCGTCGCTGTCCTCAAACCCTCCCCCAACAGATTCTGTTCCTTGTTATCGTACAATGTACGCAGTGAGGGCTGATGTCCTCCCACATTTCAACCCCTTCAAACATCTTAATATTGAAACTATGTAAGGAAAAGAATTATGCATTGACGATACACTTTTCAATCCTACGAATACATCTTTTGCCCGAAACGCTGTGCGAATTAGTGGCTTTAAGCTTATATTTCACTAGCTCTGTCTAGAAATACAACATTTTGCTTGTAACTCATTTTGTATGTGTGTACTTTTACCTGCATAAACTATTATTATTATGATTATTATTATTATTATTATTATCTTCCGGCTACAAGAGGAAACCTGATTATTCCTCTTCTCCCATACTACCCTCCCATCCTAAAGGTTTTAAATTACTGTTCCTACACAATCACTACATCCTTAACCGTTCTTTACTCCACTACGGGCTCACCATAGCCCGTGCTACTTGAAACTTTTGTTCAGAGTAGCTGAATCTAAAACAATAACAACAACACAACCGTTCCCTTCCACGCCTTCAGCTATGCCAATCAATTCGATACTGATTTGACATATCACGACTCTGGTATATATATAATGTATACAAACTTCTCTCTTTCTCTATATACCCGGTAATTTTTTTTTATTTTGTTCTCGCGGATTTTATGGTAATTTATCAGAGCTTCTTTTAATTAATCTGAAAATATTCTCTATTTTGTGTATACCTCCAGGAAAAGTAGCTCGGTGCGCTCGTCTAAGTGGTTTACACCATTCTGAGACGCCCAAAACATTATAGTAACACATTCCTCTTAATTCGGCAGAATGATCCTTTTCTTCCATTAACTTTTAAGACATTCCACTGTTATTTGTTCATTCTTCCATAAATGGTTTGCAATCTATTCTCCTAGCATACCACCTAGTTTAGCAATTTCCCTAGCTAATTTGAATGTCTTATGGCAACACTTCTACCTGAAATGTAAATGTTTAAGGGGTTTTAACTGCTGGTATATTTTATGGAATGGCAGAGTTAACACTCACGGTGGTGTTTTAAGAGACGTTTCATGTCCTCCTGCTCCCATATTGACATCTTGAGAAATACATCAGTACTGTACACCTCATTTTTATCTGTAGCACGAATAGTGTTTTAGAGCCATGCTGCTGAGCACTTTTTTTCTGATAATTTACTTACTTGCAGCAGAATAATAATGGTCTTCACTCTCTTGCCCGCAGAGAGCAGTGGGAGCCAGCATCGGTCTGGTCAGCACCGCCTTAAGTCACTCTTATCCAGCAGCAGGAGAGCTCTCACAAGACCCAAACGAATGCGTTTCTCTGGAGCCTCCGAGCGAAGGACACCCTTGAGATTCTCCCAGGCATCCCCATCAACTTTCTCTTCTTCAAGAGACACTCCAACTTCCATGACAACACTCAAAGAAAGAAGATCCCCATCTTTGACCTTAACGATGAGGAAATCAAAGATTACTGCATCCTCTTCATGCAAGAATGGAAGTACCTTTGCATCACCATTGCCTTCATCACCAGCCAGGGCTGTGAAGTCCTTAGTGATGAGAAATATACACAGAACTACTGGACGGTCTAGTAAGAGTAGTGGACCAGTCCTAACACCTGAAACTACTACTGCTGGAGGTTCAGGTGACAAAACAGACTTAAGGGCGCCTCAAGATGAATCACCACCACCATATTCAACCTCCCCAGCATCTACGTCCAGCTCCCCCTGCCCATCGGTGAGACCCAAGGAGCGCAAGAAGCAGAAGACCCGCCTCAAGAGCAAGCATCATGCAGGGAGTACAGATTCCGTGTTGTTATTGAGTGATGACACGACAGAGTAATGGTTGTAGAACTCTGTCAAGATTCATTATGCTGACTGATGTACATCAAAACATTAAAAATGCTTGAACCTCCAGAGAATTTTGTGAAGAGGTGTGGTGTTAGAAATTCTGACGAGAAGGCTAATTTGAGTGGTTTACTTTTACAAGTGATATGTGTAAGAATTACCAGATGTAAGTACATATCATTTCTTTTTTTGTGCTAAAATTAATTTGAAATACATATCTTTACCCAATATGAAACATTTGCAAGAAGCACATTTCCTATTTACATGTGGCAGATGGGTATATATTTTCATTCATGTTCCAGTACTGATAGTGTATATTTTTAATGTTTACACTACTATTATAACTACAGTATTACTTGTATTATTATGTCCATGTGATATCTGAAGAATGGTATGAATCACATATCAGCTTTGAACTTACAACATAATTGTATGGTAGTGCAAGAGGAACCCTGTAGCTTGTTATAATTCGGCCCTTATAATGGCCCCTAATGGCCCTTAAACCCCCTAATAGCAGGTGCAAATAAAGGGGGAAATTTTGAACGATATCTCCAAAACAAATAAGCATAGTTGCACAAGAATTGACATAAACATACCTTGATACCTGGTGATACTCCCATTTCTCTTTTGCAAATAATATCTAAATTAGTTTTGCATCAAAACCAGTTATATGATTTTAAATATACAGTATGTCAAAAACAGTTAAAAAGATATAAAATTAAAACTTTTGTTGTGTAGGTTCTAGAATCATATCATAAATGTAAATTTTGTATTATAACCAAAATACAGGTAGCTTTATAGGTCACAAATTCTTCGTAACTGCAACAGGTGAAAGTGATGCTAGCCTCTGATCAAATATCTTGGAATACAACTACCGTAATTTAATTGAAATTGTTTTACATTTTATGTTGAATAATTACACATATTTACTTTGTGCTCTAGCCAAATTGTGATCAATTTAAAAATAACATTGTATACATATGCTTGGCATCCCTTACTCCACCAGTATATTCACTATACATTACAGTATAGTCATCTCTTGCTCTCCACCTTCACCTCACTCACCTCTACCACCACCATACCAACTGTCACTACAGCTACAACCTCCACTATAACCACAACCATATCTAAAACCACTATGAATGCAACCACCACAACCAACACTTACAAACAAAACCATCTGTAATCACAACCATTATGAACATTAAAATCTCTATATTCACAACCAAAACTACAAATACTACAGTACATTCACTAGAAAATACCACATCTACTAGAAACACCAAAATCACCACTACTACAGCCAGAACCAGAACTCTGCCACAACCTACACTTCAACCACCACCACTTCAACCACTACTAACCACAACAAATACAAACTCTACCAACACAGACACCACACAACAATCAGAATCAATACAAACACATTCATCACCTTTCTATGTTCATGATAATCACTCATGCTCATTACACCAGCTTGTGCTCATTACAATACTCTGAAATCACCGGGCTCCGTCCTCATTACATTGTATTCTGAGATGTGCCAGAGCAAGTATACTTTTCTCAACTGACGTCATGAGATTGAAATGTATCTAAAATAGGAATTGAGATTATCGAGCCCCGGAATGGGAAACAAAGGTTATTCAGCACTATAGATTTGTTGGTGCTATAGATCTATTGTACCAAAATTATCCATGCAACGGACTTACTCATATATATTTCAGAACTATTTCAATCATTTCTTATTTCACCTCGGCATGGATTTTTTTGTTACCAAAGTGATATGATAATGTGTACCATGTTTATTGGGACTAATGCAGGCCTATATCTGCATAATACAGTATTCAATATCTTTTCTATCAACTGTATTCCATTCCAGTTAAGTGCTTTGAAAAGAGGTCCAATAAGCCTCACTAAAAATGACAGTACAGAATACCAGTATTTATATATCTTCAGCTCATGTTGAGTCATTTAGAGAAAATAATGTTTTCTACTTAACTTGAGCATTTAGTAACTATTTCCACAACTGTATAGTTTATTGACCCACCATTTTATCAATGAATAACAATGTCTTTCTATCTGCTTCCAACTTCAAGCATTAGAACACTATGGATGTCAAATGAGAAAGCTATTGTCAATCTGAACAGGAATTTGGGTAATAGTTGATAGAGTTTAGAGATGTGAGAAGTTAATCTGGTCTGCCTTAACAATTTTAATCTTTCATTCTGGAGAGCAAGTACTGTATATGTTACAGTATAAAGAAATAGTGTACGACGTATATTAACTTTGTAAAGAAATGCAAATAATTCATATTAATAGCCATCAATAATGTTTTGCTATACCGGCCTCATTTTGTTATGCGATGTAATTTTACGAGACATTTCATATCAGTATTATTTACCAGACATGCTTTATCACAAAGCAGTGCCATTTGATGTCCACTTCACTATTTCCACCATAAGTAAGCCCTTTAAGTAAACACTGTTTTTCCTATTCTTAATTTTCTTTCCCTTGTAATTATTTGTGTTTTTTCTCTTTCTTCTCTACCTTACATATACTTACTGATCCTTCAAAACATACATACATACAAAAACTAATACATACATGACATCTCCAGGAATTTTTTTTTTAATTTGGATGATAATGTAACATATCAAATTGATAAAAATTACATATTTTTTATTTTTTATAAAAAGCTTGTTTATAATGATGGCATTTTTTTTTTTAATTCCCTCTCTTACATAGTTACATATGTTTTAAACCTTAATATCACAAGAACTACTAGAATCCATTGTACTGAAATTCTGTAAGGCACAAGCATTCATAAATTCCAAATATGTAAGGTATTATTTCATGGAAGTGATGTAGTTTTACCCTATTATTTTCTCGCATTGAATTCCTTGGGTAAGATGAACTTTTAACAGATTTTGGGTAGAAGTGTCATATTTAAAGGTGTTGGATACATTAGCCTGAAATGCTGTGTTAGTGGCTTTGAGAGACTGTACCAATTAATCACAAAACCTGTAATATCATAACCAACTGTACCTTCTTGTACATATATAAATTAGGTTCAGAGGTGTGAGTTGCTCAAGGTGTTATATTAAACTACACAATGTAAGCTTATTGCAAGCCTTCATAGATGTTACCAAATACATAAAAGTATGGTAGTTTTTTGTAGTAAAAGTATGTTTAGTTAAAACATTTTTCATAATTTATATTCAACTAGATAAATGTATGCTTTAGAGTACACATTATTATGCCAGTAAATTTCCATCATAATATTTTATTTGTTAAACATATTAATCTTATTCATGGGAACACGGTTTTTTGTCAATCACCTTGTTATCCTAAATAAGGTGGTTGTGTAACTTTGTTCTGAACAGTGAACATTTATTAACAACTTTTCCAATAATACTGTAATCACAGTCACTCTTCACATTTCATTACCAATCATCCAGTTTAATCTAATCAAGTGGTTTAATTGAATTTTTCAATTTATATTGCATTACAAAAATTTCACTGTTCTGCTGTAAAGAAATTTCACAACACTTAACACTGATTTAGTAGGTCATCTAATGTTAAGAAATTATATAATATAGTATTTGTTTTAGCTGAAGAATCCTTTATGAAGATGACAGACTGGTTAGAGGTATTCTGCCTTTGGGTACCGAAAGGTTTGTTGGTCTGGACAGAATTAATTTTTGTTAGCTTGAAATGTTGCCCTTTGTTATATTTGTTAGTTTATATCTAATATAGTCAGCTAGTCTGAGAAAACCAGCATCGAAGAACTTAAGTCGTAAATTTCTGTTCAAACAATACTTGCTTCGTCATAGATTTGTGTGGCAATACTGTTTATAATTTAATTTTTTTCCAATATGTATTAAGCTATTGAAAATAACTTTGAGCACCTACAGCTAGAAATTATTACAATTAATTTATATGTCTGCCTTTAATCAATTATAAAATTTCCTAAGTGTTATTAATATCTTGTTCAAGTAGAGCATCTTTTTTTACCACTTTTAATGTTGTCAAACACAGCCTACAGTAGAATAGATATGATAAATATATATTTACATCAACAAAAACATTTGTTACTCACCATTTGTAGTCTATTTCGAATAAATATACTGTACTGTACTGTACATAACAAATTATATGCATATCAAAGATTTAAAGCTTTAATTAGGAATATATATTTCACTATATCAAACTGTATAACAATTTCAGTATTTGATGCTTCATGGAGTAAAACATATATTTCAAAGCTTCTATTTCTGTTGTATGCATGACAATAAAGATAATAAATTATTTTATCTGGAAAAATTTATATATTTACATGCAATACATAAGATCATGTTTGGAAATTTGGTCGGGAACAATCAGGCTATTATATACAGTAATTGTCTGTATATATTTCATTTTCCAAGTAAAAATGGGGTAAAAATGAACATAATTGTCTTCATTCCATATTGTTTTTCTCCAGTAACCTGGAGAAAGGAGAAAATTCTTCACTCACTAATCCACTCTACAGCCTATGCTAGTACTGTATATTATGTATAGATAATGTTTACGGGCTCACCATAGCCCATGCTATTTGGAACTTTTTTTTTCTGAGTAGCTGAATCTAAAATAACAACATATAGACAATGGTTCTATTCACTCACATCCACTCTCGTGCATTCTTTTCCAGCATGAAATCGGGATAAGCTTTGCAAAATCTTCAAATAACACCCCACATTTTTTAAGAGCAGATTCCCTGCATAAGCCTAGCATGGTCTACACTTGCATTTTGTGCCCTCTACAATGCTGCAATATATCCCTCACCATTTTCTGTAACACAAGTTAGACAAAGATACAAAGGAATGGGATAAAGGACTATACAGTATTTTTCCTGATGTACAATTCGTGTTGGGACACGAGGCAAAATCATATTTTATATGGAAAGTTAGTGGATTCAGTAGGATCCCAGGTTAAATCATTTATAGTATATTGTGATCCAGTGGGTTAAGGTGCACGAGTGGAGTGACTCAAGAGTGATAGTTTGCATCTCTAGTGCACTTCAATGATTTGTGCACATTGTGACAAATGTTTTAGGTATTGTTTAGTCATTAATAACAGGTAGGAGTGCAACAGGGTGTCAAAAAATATTTCATTCTGGAAAATCAAATCAGGAACCATTCAATCACAAGGAGTCCAACCACTTGGGCTGGATGGTAGAGCGTCGATCTTGCTTCATGCAGGTCGACGTTCAATCCCCGACCATCCAAGTGGTTGGGCACATTCCTTCCCCCGTCCCATCCCAAATCCTTATTCTGATCCCTTCTAAGTGCTATACTGGTATAGTCGTAATGGCTTGGTGCTTGCCCCTGATAATTCATTCCTTCAATCATAAGGACCTCAACAGCTATACTTAAAGTTGAATTAAGTTTCCCTTTTACAAAATAAAAACTCCTTTATTGAAAAGAATTTCCATTTAACATTATGATGCAGCAGCCTCCACTACGGTGGTTTCTTAACCTTCACACCTTCAACTACACTGAAATTTATCCATTTACTTTATGGCAAGTACAGAAGCCTGACAATGGTGCAGTTAACTGTAGTGATTGAAGATATAAATAAATATTCTAAGTGAAACATACAATAAGTTGGGACTCAAAAAGTGTCTATTGCAATGCAGACTAAAAATATTGTGTAGGTTTTTAATGTGGTAAATAACACATTTCAGACTGTGCAGACATTTAATATTTAAGCAAACTTTGTGCCTTCATACATTAATATATTATATAAAGACAAGAATATAACAAAACATTAAAAAATAATTCTGTACACAAAACTATTTTTTATGCAAGCTGTTTCCATACAGCTGGAGGGAATATATTTTGTAAACTTCTAAAATAATTAGTAAAATATAATGGAAGCTATTTTTAATTACAGTATAAACAAATCTAGCCAGTCAACACAACTATTAAAACCCCCCAAAGAAATTTTAAGACAAAACCTCTTAACTAATTAGCTTGTGCTTAACCATTCTGCATCAATAGCAAAGAAATGTACCATAAAATGAAAGTTATTTTTTCTTACACTTCCCCTTCCTTCCCTTTTTCTTTGTGCAAACACATGACTGAAATATGAAAAGCAAAGATCACAAACTTATCCAAGCTGTCAACCTCAACCTTTGTTTACTGTTTCATCAGCTTAGGTTTATTTGAACTTGGTAAGAAAAATGCTTGAAAAACAGGAATACACACTATAAAACTATTCTGCAGTTACATACAGATAATAAAGAGTACACACACACTACAGATAGGACTGTTAACTAGCACAGACCTGCAGAAAAATGTTGTTAATACTTTTGCACAACTTTCAGCCATGGATTTTATTGTTAATATTGTTTCTGCATAATTGAATTATGTAGAATGCCATTAGAAAGTTAATTTGAGTATGCATGTTTGTTTATACGATCTTTAAAGAATTTTCCACCTTCATAGGTTGGAGAGGCATCGGCCCAGAGAGAAAAAAAAAACAGGGGGAAGGGGAAATAGCATTGATAAAATAGGCTATAGACAATTCCAAAATAAATATATAGGTACACCTATTTCCTCATTTACCTTTGTTTTTGTTTTTTTGCATTTTACACATTTATCATCATCTTAACATGTTTTCACAATCAGCACTGACTAGTAAAAGCATTCACAGTGATCCATTAAACAAAAATGTTATCACAATCAGTATTGACTAGTAAAGGCATGCACAATGGCCTATTAAATGCAAAACTCACCAAAGTCATTAAATTAGAAAACAAATGTTTCTATATGAAATTTCATGAAATACAGCATGTACAGAACTCACTCTCTCTCCCTCCACACTGTGTTCATTTAGACTAAGTAGAGCTGCATTTATAATTAAGACAAAAATATAATTATAAGAATGATAATAATACCTAATAAAGTTAACATTGTGGTAAATGCCAAGATCTTCATTGATGACTCAGTCCCAAGTAACCTTTAACAAATCAATTGTATATTGTTGATGCAACTGCCCTTAATCAGTTGTAACAAGAGAACATTACAGTAGAACAGCAGAATACTTTAACAATGGAACATATCTGGTTGAAGCTATATCAGTCTAGCTACAGAGAAGGAGAATTCACACTTCATACAGCCATGAACAACGGCCACATCAGGTCAGGTCAAGTGCATAGAAAATAATGATGCTCTCACTCATGTTGCACCCTTGCTAATCCACTTATGATTACTAATCTACATCAAAATACGCTAAAGGACTTTACACGCACCAACAGTTGTATAGAAGATCAAGCATAGACTGAGTAGACAGAGCGAGGGCCGTGTGTGGGGGTGTGCATGGTGCACGGACCACTGGAATACGAAAACATCAAGTACCTCAGATTTGGTGAAATGTGCTGGGAAATCTGAAATATATACTGTGTGTGTATATACTTACAGTATACACATATATAAATAATGTATGTATGTATGTATGTAGGATCACCATACTCTCAATGTACAGTATATGGGATATTCTTGACTCTTAACACAAGAAATAGTTTAATATACTGCATATAAAAAAATGTTATAAAAATAACATTTAGTATAATGTTTATGAAGGAAGTGAGAACAGACAAAAGATCAGCCATATATTTATGCATGTTAGTTGCTCAAGCATTTATCCAAGTTCTAATAATTAAGTTAATTTGATTTTCTTGCCTAAATCCTGCCAATATTTTTGGTCTACCAGCTATATATCAGCTTATTAGCTGTGGTAAATGTCCTAGCTAATGCAGAATACTGGACAGGTTACGTATACCTGAGTTTCCCAGCGGGTTTCTCAGTTGTCTCTCCAGAGTACAGTACAGGTGTCAAAAAAGTGATCGGCAGTGGGCGGCTTCTCTGGCTTAAACACACATTACTGGACATCAGCTGAACTACATTAGAGTTGCCAAATCTGAATGCATAAAAACTCTGGGACCATGATTAGTAGGGATCTTTAGCAATATAATCAGATGTTATTCTTTATCTTGCACTTGTTAGGCCCCATTTAAATTATGTAGTTCAATTTGCAACACCAGACTACAGAATGCACATAATTTCATTTTAACATCAACAGAGAATGAGGCCAGTGTTAATTCTCTGAAATTAAAAACCTTCCTTCTGGAGAGAGATTAAGAATGTTTAATTTACATTCTCAAGAAAATCAAAGAAAAAGGGGAAACATGTCTGAAGTACCAGGTATATAACTGTATGAAAGAATACAAAATAGGGAGCATTCTGATGACGCTAACATGCATCATCTGATTTCGGAACTTCCGAGAATCACTTGCTTATCCTTTCTAATTTCAATTATGATGAGACACTTAAAGTACTGAGCACAGTGTGTGCAGAGCTTATCAGGGGTCCAACCAAAGTATTAGGGGACCAACCAAAGAACCAAAGTATCAAGGATCTAACCAGAGCATCATTGGACCAATCAAATTATCATGGAACTAACCAAAGTAGCATCAGGGAACCAACCAAAGAATCATAGAACCATCCAATGTATCAGGTGACCAACCAAAGTTTTAAGGGACCAATCAACGTATCAGGGAGACCACAGTATCAAAGTATCGGGTGGGGGGGGGGGGCTAACTAAATTATGGTATCATGGTCTAACCAGATATCATCTCAGCCAGCCATCCCATCACTCAGGACAATAATTGCTTTGCCTGTGCAATGAAAGTTATATTTACTTTCTTTTTACAGCAATATAGGCATATCTGCACACATTGCCATATTTTTCCTTTATAGTGTAATTAAGCTGAAAAATAAATGAGGAATGATATGTCCATGAACATGTGTACATTCAGTGCCATCATGCTTAATCCATTAATACACCTTTAATTTCATATACACTCTAAAACATTCATTTGCAAATATTCTGACACCCAATTTATAGCTATAACCCAAAAAATAACCTAGAAAATGTAAAACAAGTACAATAGAAATATTTCAAGTGTCAGTGAGTGGGACCTTGAGAAGCCAGAAACATTTATAGTTGAACATGTGGTGAGGGCCAGAATGTTCACCTCACCTTATATATTATATACAAATAGTTGTTAAACACACTATCGTGGAAATAAACATTTCACTCACTTGGCCACTAGGAGCCTTGAGCAGCCGACCCTATGAGTTTGAGGCAGAAACTCTACCACTGTACTATTGATAGCCACAATAGGAAAGGTTTCAAAGACAACAATCTGCTGCCCAACTGATGTATCACATGAGTGAGTTTAGTTGGGTATAAATATGAGCTGCCTTGTATACTCCAAATAGGCCATCTGGATTTCCCCATATTTTAATATTCTCAAGATTTATTCTAAAAGTTTAAAATATTAAGGATACATTATTAGACAGTCTCTGTGGTGTAGTGGTAAGACACTCGCCTGGCGTTCCGCGAGCACTATGTCATGGGTTCGTATCCTGGCCGGGGAGGATTTACTGGGCGCAATTCCTTAACTGCAGCCTCTGTTTAACGCAACAGTAAAATGTGTACTTGGATGAAAAAATGATTCTTCGCGGCAGGGGATCGTATTCCAGGGACCTGCCCGAAACGCTACGCGTACTAGTGGCTGTACAAGAATGTAACAACTCTTGTATATATCTCAAAAAAAAAAAAAAAAAAAATTAGATATTAAAATTTTGCAAGATCAAATAATTTTGTTGGCATTCAAAAGCAATTTATATTTTATTTTTCAGTTACTTTACTTTCTGAAATACCTGTGATCCTTTTCATTTTTTCTTTGATAATCTACTTTGCAAGTAACCTTTTTATTTTAATCTGTACATTTGGAAAGCTACAAATTTACAAGGATTTTCTCCCTACACTCTCAAAGTGCTGTACATAATTTGATAAGAACTTTGTCTATGGCTAATCACTCTTGTGTTTACCCACGTCTCCAGCAGTGGTGGTCGGCTGCTCCACGACTATCATGTCCTTGCTCAGGCACAATGACAAGAAAGAATACACAGACTCCCTATACTCTTCTGGGTGCATCCTGAGGGTATAGAAGACAAACATTAAATTCATTTATCTATAGGATATGTATATTTGCAGTGTTATGTGCCTATAATAAGTATACAACATTAAATTCTCCCAGTGATAATGCTGAGGCTATATATTGCTATGTACTGTACTGTAATGTAGAAAACTGAATGAATTGGTTGGTGATCTTTTTGAGCATCTTTAACCTTCTTTCCCTTATATTGCCCTTCTATGCTCTCCGAGCTAAGATTTCCCTACCCCATGAAAGCATGGAATGAGCTAATAATAATGATATAATACTAAAAGAGAGAGAGAGAACCCAATATGAATGTATTACATGTCAAACCAATCCAAATTATTTTGACATCGAGGTCAATACTGTATATCATTGAGAGAAGTAAATGTAGTTAAGGGGCCTGACAGCGAGTGGATAGCTCTTCGGATTCGTAGTCCCGAGGTTCCGGGTTCGATACCTGGTGGAGGCAGAAACAAATGGGCAGAGCTCCCTTTACCCTGATGCACCTGTTCACCTAGCAGTAAATAGGTACCTGGGAGTTAGACAGCTGCTACGGGCTGCTTCCTGGGGGTGTGTAACAAAAAGGAGGCCTGGTCGAGAACCAGGCCGCGGGGACTCTAAGCCCCGAAATCATCTCAAGATAACCTCAAGAAGATAGTATACCATAGAGAAAAAGATACATAATATACCCCAAGGAGAAGGATATACATTATACCATAGGGAGAAAAATATACAATATACCTGTGATCCTATGTCGAGTGTGGCCGATATGTCATCAACATCATTTTCATCGTTCACATTTCTTGTCACAAGAAATTCTAAATTTTCTTTCACATTTAGCAATGAAGCAATGAACAGGTGGGGGGGGGGGGGAAGTTGAGGTGCACAATAAATGATCAGATAGGAGATGAGGGATGTACAGGAAATAGATGAGGGGTGGCACAAGAGATAATTAGAGAGGAGATAAGGAAGACATGAAATAATTAAAGAGGAGATGAGGGAGGTACATGAGACGACTAGAGAGCAGTTGAGAGAGGCAAACATTTGCAAAACATTAATGAATTTCTGCAAAATTTTGTTTTCAAAACAAACAAAAGATTCCTCCTACATATTACATCATTTATAAGAAATGATGGAAATAGATTTAGAGAATCAGTTGTTGTCAGAATAAAGCCGGAGTACCTTTATCACTGATATGGGGTTTTGGTTGATGAAAAGGAAAATAGTGAAATGAATGGCAGTCATTGCTGACAGTAATGACCCAGTATAAAAGACATCAGGTAATAACAAACAAAAAGTAATATCTATAAAGAAGCAGAAGTAATTCTTTATCTTGTTTGTGAAAACCAACTCCTACCTATAATGCTGAACATGGAGAGGAGGAGTTCCTACTTATAATGTTGAATATGGGGAGAAGCAGTGCCTACCTGTAATGTTGAACATGAGGAGAATCAGTCCAACACTTCGCAACAACAGGGACCCCTAGTTTCTGCCGCTCCGTGATGAAAAACTCAACATCATCAGAACTAATTAATTTGTCAGCTTGAGAGTATAAAAATAGCTGTGGGCATCGAGCAACATCCTGAAAGGCAACAAATTTATAGAATTTCTTCTTGGCAAATCATTTAAATTATAAAGACTTAATATGTGATCTTCACTTTACCATGTTACAATAACAAGAATGGACAATAAGCAGCATGTCAATAGAACTCAAACTTTCTTAGCTAAACTACATTTTGCAAATACAGTATTATAATTGTACATATTTGATTACATTAGCATACATAAACAACTTTTCTCTTATTGCCTTTGATACTCATAAAGTATCTTATATTAAGATATTTTAATATTATCTAAAGTATTTTCAACGATATTGAAAACTTAATTTTCAATATCGTTTCCCCTAATTATTTCCAAGCCGATAGCTCCTCACCTCATAAAAGTAGGAATGGGGTAATGATGATTTGCAGTCTATAAATATTTATTACACGTCACAAAAATACAAATTACCTCAACCAAAGCCCAGGGAGGATGCTTAGGAAGTTTACCGGAGATAATGGTCCACAAAACAGAGAGAAGCCCATAACTTAAAATGTAGAATGCCATTCCCAGTGATGCACAGAGTTTCTTCCATATAGGTCCTGGCGTTGCTTCATACATGGCACGCACCCCTACAATGGAGAAGTAGTGACTCCAACTCTTATATAGTAAAAATGACATTGTATTTACAATATTAATATGTAATATGGTTTAAGTTTATTGAAATCTAAAAAGATTGTTTAAATCCAGACCAATTTGTTATTAAGCTTGCTTAAAAGTTATAAACTGATTAATATAATTCATATTACACAGCTGAAAAGTTCTCATACCTGAATAAAATCGCCGAGGAGCAGGAGTACTGTCAAAAATTATGCCTTTTACCATGATATTAGGAGAATCAGGCTCTGCTAAAGCCTGAGTAAAAGCATAATAAAGAAGTGACCCATTGTTACTGAACATATGGAAGAAAACTGGATGATCATCCAAACTCATGTCTCTAAGTAAGCCAAGAAGTTTATGAGCAATGGGGAGTCTCGTTCTTGGTCTTGCAATGAGATATGACACTGGGGAGGTGTACCGGATTGTAATACATCTGTTGAAAAAACAAGCATGTAGTTTAACAGTAGTGGCTATACTGTAATATCAGAAGTGTAATTGCAATTAAATTTGCATCAAGGGGACAAGAAAATATGGATAAACAAGAGTTTTATCACTCCTCGCCAAACACACAACGAAACTATGACATTGCTACAACATTTTAACAAGTTTTAACATCTTCTAACAAGTTCTAACAACTATCTAACTAGTTGTAACAACTTTCTAACACAAAAACGTTTATAACAAGATGTAACAACTTTGTAATAAGTTGTAACAAAGTAACAATAGAGACCATTACATTGTGCGTTTGAAGGATCCTGCTCTAGTGAATCAGAGGAAAATTACTTAAAATTAAAAATACACATATCAGAAAGTTTCTATTTTTAAACAGAATTGTGGATGGCTAGAATGCACGGCAGTATCAGGGTGTGTGTAAAACATAGCTCTGACCAATTTCAGAATTATATTTACATTCATGGACTGAGAAATATTAACACATCTGTTCACAGTATTCATGAGACCTTAACTAGAATATGCAGCAGTTGTGTGGTGACCATATATCGAAAGGCACATTAATAAACTAGTAAAGGTGTAAAGAGGTCCTACTTAACGTCAACTGGGCCATTAGGCTGTAAGATGTAAGAGGCTTTGAGGAGAAATAGGAGGCATTAGAAATGTCAAAGCTAGTGAGCAGAAGAAAAAGAAGTGATATGATCTCTATCTACAAAATTGTAACAGCAACTGGCAAAACTGTTAAGGACGAATTCTGAAATCTGTAACATTGAGTGCAAGTGGATATAAATTCAAGCTAACATTTGTGCAGAAAAATGTGGGTAAATACTTTATTGCATACATAGTAGCATATGTATGGTATAATTTAAATAATGTATTGTATACTAAAAGTAACAAGAGCTTCAAAATGTCATATAACAAATAAAGATTATAGGGAAGACATTCAGTAACTATACTTAAGTAATTACAGTTAAGTAATTACATACACACATTTGTTCAGGCTTCAACCAAGATATAGAAAAAAAAGGGCCGAACAGATACTCACCCTTTTTGATTATATATACTGCAGTACTTTGCCAAGTGGTGGTCCTGAGCACCCAGCCAGCCTAAGAGAAACACCACTGGTTCCTTCTCCCCATTTGCTCCATTGATAAACACAAAATCATCTTCATTGTTATCCCTGTAGAAATATTTTCATACAGAAAAGTTATATTGAAATTGAAATAAGTTTATTGAGGTAAAATACACACAAAGGGATGAGGTAGCTCAAGCTATTCTCACCCCGTTCAGTACATCGTGTTACATGCTGCTGGGTAATTATTGAAAACCGTGTACAGTATATCAGATTATACTCACAACATTTATATGTAAAAGATTAATTAAATTTTTTAAAGAGACGATTTGGGTAATGCTATGATAATTACATTTAAAAAATTATGTACTGGGAATTAACATCCAATTACATCATGACCAATTGTGAAAATTTGTTCTAATGTTGCATGCTAGTTTTATGACCAAACATTAACTACAAATAAATGTTAATAATAAAAGCTTATAAAGATGTGATCTGAAAAAAAACTTATAAAGATGTGATCTGAAAATCAATTGAATATATCTAATGTAATCCAACTTAGGTTAAACAGTAGCTATAACAGGTTGGATCTGTTTTGCATAATTTTGGAAGCTGAAGAGGTTGATAAATTTTTAGTATGTATACAGTATAATTTGTTGGCTTCCTTTAATCATATAGAATGAGATTTACAAACTATTTGCAATTATTGATTATTATAAGCAATGTGTTGACTCTGGGTTGAACAAATGTACAGCAGTAAGAATAAATTTACATTGATGATGAGTAAGCATACAGAATACAAAAAACTATTCTGAATATGTATGGCTTAAAAATAGAATAATTAAACTTTGAGACAGGTATAAACGATGCATATTGAAGGTCATACATAAAGTTACAACTAGACATTGATGCTGCACTTGTGCAAAAGTGACTGAGTAATGCTGCTGTGGTAATAATTGTGCATTATTTATTTATACAGATTTATAAAGCCTATTGACAATAAATAAAACTGAAATAGTGGAAGTACAGACCCTGCATCAGTTTGCTTATGTGTCTCCTTTGGGGTGGGTGTTGGGAAGGTTATGTAGTACTCCAAGTCATCCTCCATTTTCTCTCTTTTGAACCAGTAACTTTCTGTGTGTTATCAGAATAGGCCAGGAGACAGATCTCCTCCAGAGGTTCACAAATCTATTTGTGTAATCAGTATAAAGTATTGAGAAGCCAGAGTTCACTCTTCGATAATGGGGTGTTGTTGTGGTGGACTATGGATGGGAAACTGAAAAATTGTAAAGTCACATAATAAGTTTCCATTGTACAAAATTCCATGCAAAATAAAGCTTATTAATTTTTACTAGCAAATACTGTATTCAAACTATTTTCAGGGTACTATTGAAGAAGTGTTAAAAACTGCACCACAAGTCTTAGACACTAATTGTTGTACACCAAATGTAAGCACAGTTCAAATTAATGTATAGTAGCAAGTTACATTATTGTGTATAAAATTATTATACAATAGCAATGAAGAGTAATAAAGATTCATAGTAACCCAGTATAGGTTTCTTCCTGACAATATATTCTATATGCATGTACTCATGAAGTTTTAGTACTGTGTGAAGTCCTTAAACATTTGTCAGTTTGACAAGGAGTTTGTGCAAGCTCATGATTATTGGTCAGATAAGGAACAAATTATCACTTCTTCATCAATAAACAGTATGGATATGCCAGTTACACAATTATCAATTACTGAAAGTTCTAGATTAATGGGCTCACAATCAAGGGACCTCAAGTTTTGATTCTTGGGCAGGATATGACGACCACATTTCCTTACATCCCATACACCTCTTCAAACAGGAATTAATAGACACCTATGAGTTAGGCCACTGCTAAGGGTTGCATTCTCAGGAAAGTCAGTCATTGGCATAGCGGGAACATCAATAAATCTAATAGACTTCCTATTCCAGTAATATCCACAAAGATTCCTGGATGCACGCACCTGTAATTTTGTATATCAGAATGATGTTACACACCTCACACAAAAAGTACCAGGTATCTAATAAACACAAATGAGAAACAAGAGTTGGGTTTGAAGACATATTTGATTAGGATATGTTAGGATAGAATAAATTAAATTAGGATATGTTAGGATAGAATTGACTAGGAAATTTACCTGAATTTACCCGAGGGCCACTAATACTAGTAGTCTTGATGAGGACAGGAAACCGGGGGCTTGTCAAAGGTCCCCTTCATTTGCCCTGATGTTTTCCAGCTGTATTTTAAAACCCAGCAGTTTTGGCATTTACAGCTTCAGTGGGTAGGCAGTTTCACGGGTTTACAACCCTATGGGTGAAAAAGTACTCATGTTATGGATAGATATGTTAGGATAAAATAGATTAGATTAGGATAGAATAGATTAGATTAGGATAGAATAGATTATATTAGAATAGACTGGAATAGGATAGATTAGATTAAATTAGGATATGTTAGGAAAGATTAGATTAGGATGTTAGGATCGATTAGATTAGGATAGATTAAATTAGGATATGTTAGGATGCGGGGCCGTACCGTACGGCCAGCGGGGCCGTACCGTACGGCCAGCGGGGCCGTACGGTACAGCCAGAGGGGCCGTACGGTACAGCCAGAGGGACCGTACCGTACAGCCAGCCGCCGTTACAGGTACCACCTGGCCTCATACCACCCTCAACAGGTGGCAGGTCTGAAGCCCAGCGTCTTGATGCCCTCTACACTACCTGACCAAGTATCCTGCAACTAATGCTTGCTTGTCATCCCGCAGCCGCTCCAAATGTCGTCTGTTTGTTTGGTTGGTCAGCTGGTGGAATGTCGCACAGGCGAGTAGAGGGAAGCGCATCGCCGGTGATTTTTTTATATACTGTATATATATATATATTACTAGCTCATTAAAACTGTAAGTTGCTTAGCTAAATGAATTGTGGGGTTCAGTCCCCTGAGCCCATTATGTGCCTCTGTAACCCTGCCCACTACCGTCCACAGAATGGGTATGGGGTGCATAATAAATAAACTAAACAAAACTAAAACTATATTAATAAATTTATATGTATGCCACCAACGTGTGACTGTCATGCTCTATATTAAGAGTTGCAGAGTTTAATAGGTCAAACCTATTAAACCTGTGTTCACACACAATGGGTATGGGGTGCATAATAAAGGAAGAAATTGAATTGTTCACACACAAGGACAACCTCCAACCCAAATTCAGTGTCAGAGTAGTTAACAGAAGGAATGCATTAGGCAGTGATGTAGTGGAGGCTGACTCCATACACAGTTTTAAATGTAGATATGATAGAGCCCAGTAGGCTTAGGAATCAGGTGTCTTGTTACTAACGCTTCGATTAATAAATCCCAGTGTCCTATTTGCCTTATTACGAACATTCAGGCATTGATCATTTTGTTTTAAATTCTTACTAATCATATCTCCCAGATCCCTTTCGCAATCCGACTTCGCAATCTCAACACCATCAAGCTCGTACAGTATCTTGCAACTCTATCATCATTACCTAGCCTCAGAACTTTACATTTATCAGCATTAAACTGCAGACTCGGGTAAATTCAGGTAAAATATAAAAGTATATCTAACTCGTTTTCTTTGAAACGGTCTGAATAATTTGATTTCTGCAAATGAAATTTATCTGAGAGGTCACTGACATATATTGGTCTCGACGAAAGAAAGGATTAGTAGAAATTCTAAGAGAGAATCAAATAGTTTCCGACTTTCATATTATTTCACCTGTCAGCTAATGATATTAGGTGAACATGCTTGTGCTTTAATTTTATTTAGTAGCCCCTCATATATAATATGGTATTAGTAGTAGAAGTAGTACATTGTACTACCTAAGCTTTTAATCAAAACAAAATGCATAAATTCGCTACACAATTGAGGTTCTTATTTGCGTCTTATTTCATTGTAAAAGGAGTTAATTTCCAAACAGGGTTGTATAAATAAATCTTATCTTATCTTTGCATTCAATTTTGTACGGTAATTTTTCAAACTTAAAATGTAAATAGCTATATATAAGCCAACAAACTTTGTAAAATCTCTTTATGTATGTACCTTTACCTAAATAAAAATTATTATTATTATTATTATTATTATTATTATTATATATATATACCCCCTCTAAATGAAAAATGGCCTAATTTAACATATGTGCTAAAAATATTAACATAAATAATTCGTTTGATAGATAACAAGATATTCATAGCAATAAGGTTTCTTGGAATGGCCTATAATGCACGCAAATACTAGTTTACGCACTTTTCGGGTAGTACGCCTGGAATTTCAAAATGGCGTTCAAACGGCGGCTGGTCGTTGAAGGCTCAGGCGCTCAGTACTGTCGGTGCCGCCAACGCGACAACATGTACCGCTGATTTCCGACATCAACAACATTGCTCCAGGTAAGAGTGATAATTCTTTTTGACATATTTATATCTTATATATACACAGTATATAGAATTATATAATATAATGGGGTTTCGTACAAGTACCTCAAGTACAGGTTCTAAATTAAGCACCTGACATATGTGGAGAGCTAGTGTCACAATTTACGTTTGTCCTGCACACCGCCCCCCATCCAGTGGGCAGCGGTGGATAGGTTACAATCACTCGGTTACTACCTACAGTTAGCAGACTGGGGATATTTGGCTAAAATTTCTGGTAGCAGATCAGGTCCCCCATTTGTTCAGATTTTTTTTTCAAATAGGATTTTACAATTCAAGTGTTATGTTATTTACTGCTTTAGCAGATAGGCGGTTCCATGGGTTTATAACCCTGTGGGTGAAAATATAGCTTATGTTTTCAGTCCTACACTGCGGCTTGTTGGACTTGAAACCGTTGTTCCTTGTTTGTGTTCCATCTGACCTTTTGAAGTTGTTCTCTGGATCCATATCTTCGAAACTGTTCAATATTTTAATAGGCAGGCGATGAGTCACAATAACGTGGCTGAAGTATGTTGACCAGACCACACACTAGAAGTTGAAGGGACGACGAGTTTCGGTCCGTCCTGGACCATTCTCAAGTCGATTCAAGTCGATATTTTAATAGTTTCGGTGAGATCCATCCTGGCATGCCTAGTTTGCAGTGTTGTTAGCCCTGTGACCCTCAACCGTTCATGGTATGAAACTAGACCTCATTCTGCAATTATTTTTGTCGCCTGGTGTTCAATTTTCTCCATGAAAGGTTGGGCGCGGGGTGAGTTCTCTGTCGGCCTCCAAGTGGGTTCTCTGTCGGCCTCCAAGTGGGTTCTCTGTCGGGCCCCAAGTGGGTTCTCTGTCGGGCCCCAAGTGGGTTCTCTGTCGGGCCCCAAGTGGGTTCTCTGTCGGGCCCCAAGTGGGTTCTCTGTCGGGCCCCAAGTGGGTTCTCTGTCGGGCCCCAAGTGGGTTCTCTGTCGGGCCCCAAGTGGGTTCTCTGTCGGGCCCCAAGTGGGTTCTCTGTCGGGCCCCAAGTGGGTTCTCTGTCGGGCCCCAAGTGGGTTCTCTGTCGGGCCCCAAGTGGGTTCTCTGTCGGGCCCCAAGTGGGTTCTCTGTCGGGCCCCAAGTGGGTTCTCTGTCGGGCCCCCGGGGTGGGTTCTCTGTCGGGCCCCCGGGGTGGGTTGTCGGTCGGGCCCCCGGGGTGGGTTGTCGGTCGGGCCCCCGGGGTGGGTTGTCGGTCGGGCCCCCGGGGTGGGTTGTCGGTCGGGCCCCCGGGGTGGGTTGTCGGTCGGGCCCCCGGGGTGGGTTGTCGGTCGGGCCCCCGGGGTGGGTTGTCGGTCGGGCCCCCGGGGTGGGTTGTCGGTCGGGCCCCCGGGGTGGGTTGTCGGTCGGGCCCCCGGGGTGGGTTGTCGGTCGGGCCCCCGGGGTGGGTTGTCGGTCGGGCCCCCGGGGTGGGTTGTCGGTCGGGCCCCCGGGGTGGGTTGTCGGTCGGGCCCCCGGGGTGGGTTGTCGGTCGGGCCCCCGGGGTGGGTTGTCGGTCGGGCCCCCGGGGTGGGTTGTCGGTCGGGCCCCCGGGGTGGGTTGTCGGTCGGGCCCCCGGGGTGGGTTGTCGGTCGGGCCCCCGGGGTGGGTTGTCGGTCGGGCCCCCGGGGTGGGTTGTCGGTCGGGCCCCCGGGGTGGGTTGTCGGTCGGGCCCCCGGGGTGGGTTGTCGGTCGGGCCCCCGGGGTGGGTTGTCGGTCGGGCCCCCGGGGTGGGTTGTCGGTCGGGCCCCCGGGGTGGGTTGTCGGTCGGGCCACCGGGGTGGGTTGTCGGTTGGGGCTCCGGGGTGGGTTGTCGGTCGGGGCTCCGGGGTGGGTTGTCGGTCGGGGCTCCGGGTGGGTTGTCGGTCGGGGCTCCGGGGTGGGTTGTCGGTCGGGGCTCCGGGGTGGGTTGTCGGTCGGGGCTCCGGGGTGGGTTGTCGGTCGGGGCTCCGGGCAGGCTTTAGGTACTCAACTGGCGGGCTCTGGGTGGGTGACTGTTCGGGCTCCAGGTGGGTGTCTGTCCGGCTTCGGGTGGGTTCTTGGTAGGGCTTGGGGGGTGTGGGTTCTTGGTAGGGCTTGGGGGGGTGTGGGTACTTGGTAGGGCTTGGGGGGGTGTGGGTACTTGGTAGGGCTTGGGGGGGTGTGGGTTCTTGGTAGGGCTTGGGGGGGGTGTGGGTTCTTGGTAGGGCTTGGGGGGGGGGTGTGGGTTCTTGGTAGGGTTTGGGGGGGTGTGGGTTCTTGGTAGGGCTTGGGGGGGGGGTTCTTGATAGGGCTTGGGGGGGGTGTGGGTTCTTGATAGGGCTTGGGGGGGTGTGGGTTCTTGATAGGGCTTGGGGGGGGGGGGGGTTCTAGGTAGGGCTTGGGGGGGTGTGGGTTCTTGGTAGGGCTTGGGGGGGTGTGGGTTCTTGGTAGGACTTGGGGGGGGGTGTGGGTTCTTGGTAGGGTTTGGGGGGGTGTGGGTTCTTGGTAGGGCTTGGGGGGGGGTGTGGGTTCTTGGTAGGGCTCGGGGGGGTGTGGGTTCTTGGTAGGGCTCGGGGGGGTGTGGGTTCTTAGTAGGGCTCGGGGGGGGGGGGTTGGGTTCTCTGTAGGGCTCGGGGTGGGTTCTCGGTAGGGCTCGGGGCGGGCTCCAGGTACTCAACTGACGGGTTCCAGTTCACTCAACTGGCGGGCTCCGGTTCACTCATCTGGCGGGCTCCGGTTTATTAAACTGGCGGGCTCCGGGTGTTTGACTGGTCGGGCTCCGGGTGGGTGACTGTTCGGGCTCCAGGTGGGTGTCTGTCCGGCTTCGGGTATGTTCTTGGTAGGGCTTCGGGGTGGGTTCTTGGTAGGACTTAGGGTTGGCTCCCGGTCAGGCTCAGGGTGGGCTCTTTCGGGTTCGGGATGGGCTCTCGGGCTTGGGGTACCTCTGTAGGGCTCGGGGTAGGTTCTTGGTCGGGCCCAGGGTGGGTTCTCTGTAGGGCTCAGGGTGTTTTCATGGTAGGACTAGGGGTGGGTTCTCTGTAGGGATCAGGGTGGGTTCTCGGTAGGGCACTGGGTGGGTTCTCGGTCGGGCTCGAGGCGGGCTCCAGGTACTCAACTGACGGGTTCCAGTTCACACAACTGGCGGGCTCCGGTTCACTCAACTGGCGGGCTCCGGTTTACTAAACTGGCGGGCTCCGGGTGTTTGACTGGTCGGGCTCCGGGTGGGTGACTGTTCGGGCTCCAGGTGGGTGTCTGTCCGGCTTCGGGTGGGTTCTCGGTAGGGCTTGGGGGTGGGTTCTCGGTAGGGCTTGGGGTGGATTCTCGGTAGGGCTTGGGGTGGGTTCTCGGTAGGGCTTGGGGCTGGGTTCTCGGTAGGGCTTGGGGCTGGGTTCTCGGTAGGGCTTGGGGCTGGGTTCTCGGTAGGGCTTGGGGGGTGGGTTCTCGGTAGGGCTTGGGGGGT